CCCCGTCCTTCTGTCGATAAATTAGATTGTTGAAAGTGAACTGAACGTTTTAAGTACAAAGAAGCAGGAGTTCCTTAAGATTCGAAGTAGGAATTCCAATATCCTTACCGTTGCACTCAATCAAGTCACAAACGTAGTCTATTGTCTCGGTGAGTGGTATACTGGTAAACAATGACTTGACGTCCAGGGAGAACATGGAGTGTTTATCAACCTTCAAATCTCTAATCTGATCGACGAAATCAAAACTGTCTCTTAAGCTGTGTGTCGACACCTCCCTACTGATTGGTTCTAACAGACTGACCAGCCATTTGGCCAGAGCATGATAAGGAGAATCAGACATATCGAGGATGGGCCTGAGAGGTAGGCCGGGTTTGTGCACTTTCGGGAGACCATAGAGCCGAGGGTTTGTTGTGCCAGTGGGGCGGATACGCTCGAAAGTCTTGGTGTCAATGCTTCCGGATTGTTTGAGGCGTCTTAGTATTTTGGACACCGCTTTTTCAATCACGTGCGTCTTGTCTTTCTCGGATTCCATTTTCCTAAATTTGGATCTGTCTGAGAGGATGGTAGTCATCTTATCAATGTAGTCGTATTAAATCATCAAGACAATTCCCGAACCTTTATCTGGCTTGGATAGTAAAACTTGGTCGTTTAGCTGTAAATGTTTTAGAGCCCCGAAATTTTCCTCTGTTAAAAGTCGTTTGGGTCTGGGTTTGTAGCTGGGGTACTTGTAAAATGAATTGACTAGCGTCGATTTCAGCTGTTCTACACTCAATCCAGAGGAAGGTACTAGCACGGATTCAAATATTCAAATTCAAAAACTCAAATATTCATGTCTGTACTTCCTTCCTTACCTTCCTTCCTTCCCTTGTCCGAGCTTGCCATTTACTGTGTCTACCTCAACAATTCGATATGCATTTTTAACCCCTCATGAACTTTTATCCCATGATATGTCAAAACAATTTGGTCGATCATCAAACGATGGTCGCTTTTTGACCATTTTGTGCTACCACAGTGTTGTGCACAGGCGTGCGCCGCTAACCAAGATCGATTTGCTGTCTTCTCCGGGCTTTCTCTGGACTTGCACTAATCGATTTGCTTCTTCTCCGGGCTTTCTCTGGACTTGCACTACTTTGTGCAACAATTCAGACGGTACACTCCATAGTTTGAGGTTTCTACCCCTTTTATTACGTATTTTAAACATGTAGTACCACAGTTCATCGACAAATCTCAAGAATCCACGATTCCTTTCTTTTAATTTTGCGCGTCACTCAATTGGGCCTTCCCGAATAAGCCAAAGTATTCAACAGTAAGCGAATCAGACCATTCCCTCCTGGACCCTGGGATGACTATCTCCAGCGAACTTGTGTAATCTTACAAGCAAGTCATGCAACCCCGATCGCCTCCTGGGGAAATTTATGACACTAGTCACACGCTGTTCACGTCCCAAGTGAACAATATTATCAGCCCATTTTTCACCTCCCCATGTCATCAAACATCAGAGTCAAGTGAGACTTAAAGCATTAGGCCATGCAGGTTTTCTGCACGGCTGTTAAACGATAGGCTTGAGCAAGACGTTTTAGAGGGAGAATTGGGGAAAAGTTTGCGACGACTGGAAATTAGTAAGGAGAGGGTTGAGGCGAAAAGTAATGTACTGGCCAGTCTATGTCCGGAAACTCACCAGAGCCAATCAGCTGAGAATGGACTGCAGTTAGATGGCACTGCCACAAAACAAGAGTCGGGCGCTCTAAAGTATTCAATTATTCGCGATTAAGTTTCCCTGCAACCTCCTATATCAACCATTGCGCTACTAAAGACAGAAACAAATTAATAGACGGAAATCCTCGTAAATTTAAGATGTTTACGAAAAGATTCCAAGTGAACGTCGTCAACAGACGCGTTGACGACAGCGACTGATATATCTCATACACTGTTCTACCGGCGAAGCTAAGGGAGCAATATAAGGCTGCGTGTTGCTACGCAAAATCAACGGATATCTCTCATAAGGGTTTCGGACGGCTCCATGGCATAGCGCAAAGCCTCACTGATAGTATACTGGTCAAAGGCCTCATTGCACCTGGGGACACAGGCGCACTAAGGAAACTGATACGTGAACTGCACAGTCACGAGTTCGCCTTCACCCAGATGGGTTACACTGCCGACTTGAATTGCTCAACAAACCCGAAACGGATTGTGATATGGCTTCTCAGACATCTCCAATGAGGACGGGCAAAGCTAGCTGATAACACTCTACACGAACAAATGGGAGCCGCCCCATAGCCAGCTGGCCCAATTCGTCGAAAGAAATCTGTCCGCAGCGACAAACGTGTACGTCCAGCTAGCAAGTGACGCTAACCGTGTGTTTAGTAGGGGTGTGGATGATATTAATTGACGCAGAAAGCTCCCACATTCACACGTTAACGTCGTTGCATCTAAGGCGCTGAGTTGTCCGGTGTTTACGGCCCATCACTCCTTATGTGACTGTGTCGCATCCCAGCCCAATTTTTCAGAGGAGAAACTTAAGGTGTTGAGGGAACGTAATTCGTGCTTTAATTGTCTGAAACCCAACAACCAAGCAGACAATTGCCCAGCCCCCAATCACAGCAGCGTGTCGGAATGTGGCAAACACCATGATCGGTTACTACACATGAACAGCTACGTGAAACCACACACTTCGCACACCGCTAATATAAACTTGAACACAGTGGAAGTTCCATCGGCATTCCTAGGGATTCTTCCGGTTCGCCTCGTTAGCTCCAGTAGCGCTGCAATATACTGTGCACCTCTGGACAGCGGATCAGACTACTTAGGTGTCGCTCAATGTCGCTAATCGGATTGGGCTGAAGGGTATCCCAAAAAACGAGTTTAATTCGATCAGCGGAGCGTCGAAGAAGAGTACGGCAGCTTTTAGTTTGACCGCTGAACAATGATTTTCAGACGCATGTAGAAACCGTATATCAAAGGACCATCTACCCCTGATGTGGCCAGACATGCCGTCTCGAAAACTCCGTCACCGACCACATTTGCTCCATCGAATCGAATCGCATCCGTCTATTCTAATAGGTACGAATGTACCAGATGTGAATTGGATGATAAAGCAGCACATCGAGACCAGTAAGCAACCGTATGCATCGTCGACAGCACTCAGATGGGTCATCTTTGGTCCATCGAGTATCAATGGTGGGAACACCACCACAATAAACTGCTTAAATACACAGAAGACTATAGACAGCGATGTAATACGTCTGTTTGAACTCTAGTATAGTGATCAAAGAAACAAAAGGGATATATCTATGTCTATCAGGGACAAGTAAGTATAGTGAAGCAATCAATCAGTCTCTTGAACAGTCGCTATCAGGTCCGGCTCCCATGGAAACGTCAGTGACATGACCTACCGGAAAACAAACTCATAGCCATTCTTCAGAAAGTACGGCCTCTGGAAATAACCACCAAAACTCAAGAAGCAATGGAGTTTGTGGAGGATCTTACCTACCTCTATAGTTGTATTATCTCCGACGGAATGTGTCCGCTGAAATAATTGCACGAATCCCAAATTCTCGAATTACGTCACTTGTGGCCCAGAAAGGCGTAACAATGGGTCTCAGGCTACCTTAAGGGACGTGTCGTATGGTTGCTATAAATGGACTGTGAGGCGGCCTTGGGGTTTCGACCACCTAAGCCCCAGTGGATTTCTAGTGTCAGATGGCATCAGCGAATTCGCAACGTGGTAGATTGAGGGTATTTGGCATTGCGGTGGATATTTCGGCCACGGGAAATATTCAATACTACCAGCTGCGGTGGCTTAACCATGCTGAAACGCTGTCTACCGAGGCGAGTGTCTGCACCCTTCAAAACAGCGAAAACCCGGACGTTGACACTATGGCTTGGTGGAAGAGTGTGAAACAAATTGATAGGTTGGTTTTTGGCTCACCTTTAAGGGTGGGGTCCCCGTGATGCCTCCTTGCGTCTGGTTTTGAATAAAATTACATGGGCTTTGCGATTGTACGCCAGTGAAGCACCGGCGTTGACACTAATTTTCCTACCTCAGGATTGCAGAATTGATGAAATTATGGGACTCCAGTGAACTCCATTTCTCAAGCGGAACGAAAGCATAGGATATAAATAATTTTGTGAATAAAAAAACAGAGCACTGAAATCGTGCAGTAGTCATGCACTGTACACCACAACCGTGAGACATCCGTTCACTGCGTACCGAGGACTTTCGTTGACGGAAACACTAATGAACTAATCATAGTATAACCGACGTATCCCGAAGTAAATCACTCGGCAGCATCATTATCGCCCAATATGGCTGTGGAAGTGATACTATTCGGCAGTGAGCCAAACGGTAGATTTCTTGCTTCATGTGTTGTTGTGTGATAACCACTCTGTACTGGGGCGTTAGCTTTTTGGCTCCAAGCTATGACAAATTACAACAGTCGCTGAAACGAATGACTACGGGTGGTAGTGGAATTCTGATTTCAAGCTAGCCGGAGAAATGGGCGGTGAGAATAAATCGCGGACTGCATCCGTAGTTACACATTGAAGCTTGGAGCCTATTAGCCGCATAATGCTTTTAACTACAGAACCTCTACGAGTTGAGTAAAACTTTTTGCGCCAAAATGTTCCGTATGTGTTCAAACTAAAAACCATTCCGATCTACATTCATATTTTGACAGCTCACCAAATTTCATTGTCCACTGGAGCAATCATACCTCTGGCGGAAAATCTGGTTGAATAATTCTCCAGCATCGTTGAGACCCCGGGATGCCTAAATGAGGCCCAAAATTTTGACTGGTACTCTGAACTCAATTGCTCGATTACTTTAGTCCACCAGGGGCACGTTATAGCCTTCGAAAATTTCATTCCATTGTGTGAATACTGAGCGGCTCAAAACTTAGGTGGGCAGCTAATCGCTTCAGCGTTGTGCGAGGAAATAAACGTAGTCGGTAGTATTTTCACAGAATGACACGATACAACACAAAATAATGAGAAATCTGAAGAACAAAGGCAAAGTATAGGGGCAGTCACAGTTATGAGGAACCAAAAGGCTTTCAGTGAACATGTTATTAAAAAGGAGTTGAGGCATAATAAACAGCCAAATTCGAGATGGGTTAAGAGAAGAGATAAATCCAGCGAAAAGCCGCCACACCTAAATGGGAAAAACAAGCAAAATACAGTGATTTAGGGTAGGAATGTTTCGAAGTATTTCACTGTTGTGAGGGTTCACAGAAAATTTGGAAGTCACAAAATATTTCGCGATGCACAGGTGTAAAATATCAAAAGAAGGATAGTTTTGTGTGAGCTGGCAGCAGCGAAAGGGTAGTCAAAACTGGATCGATGAGAAAGACAGTCGATTTGCTTATATCAACAGGCCGGATGGGCTGATGTCATGGGGCTGAGTGATTTTTGATATGGTTGAACATCTACACATTGCAGTCCTTTCTACTTTGGATATTCCACGGGTATTTCTTCCGCATGGCTCTGTAAGTAAACGGAAGAGTAAATTTTAGAAAGGCAGCACAATACAATGCTAAAGCGACACCAAAAATCCTGTTGGACCAACTAAGCGAGCTGTTATTCGGATCGGAATCAATGCCTATTGGAATAACACTAACAGGGCGGGTGTACGAACTTCCAGTACACCGCTCAACTCTGTTTTTCCACCTTTGCAGCCCATTCTCACCGCCTCACCTTTGGCCGTACATTTGGCCACAGGCACGTACCACACACACACTTGTTTGACCTAATTAAATCCGCTTTGTACACAGTCATTTCTATCTCGCACGTTGACACGTTGTTCAACAGAATTAACAGCCCAGCTGGTCTTGTTTCCCGCGCGAATACTGGTCGGATTTCGCATTCAACCAGCAGAAATCACGGGTTCCAGCCAGCTCCAATCGTAACGGTCCTGGAGACGCATTTTCTAACGGTTATCACGTAGGACAATGATTCAAAACTCATCGTACACAGGCGGCGAAAGTTACCAAGCGTATTTGTAAAAGCAATGAAGCCACAGCACTATATACGCCAGTGCGCAACAGTACGTCGGACTTCCCATTGCATCCTCATTCTGAGTGCACCGCCAACACAACGGACACGAAGAGGTGTTCCGAAAGGATATGTTAAACCGAGAGTTAGGCTTCTACCTAACAAAGTTGGCATTGTCGAACGACAAACTTGTCAACTTAGTTCTTCTCAAAACCTCAAGCGACCTCAGAATCACGAAAGCGAATGAAGCCGAGTCTAACCGGTGCAGAAGGGTAGACAGATTTCTCCATAGGTACCGGTTATGTAGATAAAAAATTCGAGACATTTCGATAAGGCCTGATCACTACAAACCAGCTCAAGTGGCTGACGATGCAACACAACCGCTTATCAAGACCAAAACATAACTTTACAAAGTGCTGCTGAATGTCCAAATATAGTCAACTTTAAACGTAAACTGGCCGTGAGAGGACTCCCAACCACTGTGAGCCGAATCCCGCTTTTTTCGACCTAAAAGATGAGTGTCATGTAGCAGTACCATGGGTTGAGGAACTAAAATGCCATCAAACGGCTGTCATTAACCATGAAGCTCAGTCATTTCGGACCGTTCCAATCACCGTAAGGAGAAAAGTGATAGGTTCCCTTCCGACTTAAACAGATTATTCGCCAGGCCTTAACGTGTCGCTAGAACACCAATGCTCGCGACAGGTTCCAGATGACCTCTTAGCTGTGCAGAACGGTTGTCGATTTTCCAAAAAGCTACATCTAGTCGAAGGACAGAATATGGTCTGAGTACAGAGCACTACGTAGCATTAATATGTTTAGAGGATTAGCTCGGTAAAATCAACCTCCTGCCTAAAAAGAGCTTCCGCTAACTTTCAACAAACGGCGTAAAGCAAGCTCGTAAGTATATCAAATCGACATCATAGTATAGCCGATCAAACGCCAGAAAAAATGTCAGCACGCTTTTACATTGTCCTACAGGGTACAAAAGTATGACTTCATACGATCAATCGATCGTCCGTTCGTAAAGCCCTTTCGGTGTATAGCTACCATGCCAATCGAAGGAAACATGAGGGCTGAAATACTTCCAGGCTAACAGAGCCTCGACAGAAGCGGTCGAGATAATGGGGTTCGGTCCGAACGACGGACTTTTCGGTCAGTAAGTTCGTGAGTGCTATCTCGAGCACATGGGCTTCATATACAAGCCCAAGAACCTTGAAATGTTCTTAAAATCTATCTCTGAACACCTCAAGTTTGTTGGTAGCAAGTGTGGTCATTGTCCAGAAAATACTTTATCACTAAATGATTCTCCTAAGCTGGGATAATTCTTTGGTCTCATCAAGCAATAAAATTCATTTTGCTCTGTTTGTTTACGACATAGGAACTCGATTTGACGTAAAATTTAGGTTTAAACGCACTTACAGGTTAGATGCACTAAAACCAGATGATTCAACAACCGCCCAGGTTACACTGATTATATTGAACGTTTCAGCCATGTCAAAACTGTGTGCGAGCATATCGCATTTCGGTATACCCAGAGGGAACAACAGAACGCTCCGTCGATATCGCAAAAAAGGAGACAGGAATACGACTAATTATAGGGAACACATTTCCGACTAATGTCAGCTCGTCTCGACGTCGACTAAATCTAGCCAGTCCACCGGATTCAATCAGTCTCGTGCTTATGGCCCACATTGTGTAAATACGCTTACAGTCAGCATATCCGAGGATTCGATAGCTGCGTAACACGTAAGATATTTGTCCAACGTTGAAATTACCAAGATCACAAAGGTCCGCCCTTCTGAGAACTAGTTTCCTCTATCTGGGGCACAATGTTGGTCTTTAGTACATCAAACTCAGGTTTACCCTGTGTAAATTGATAGTTGTACGTGGACAGTATAAGTAGAAGAGAATGGTGGTGGTTTTGGAAAGCTGCGCCTAGACACCACGATATGCAGTGTACCATCTGTAGCTGAGGTTGTAGCGATTGAAGAGTTGACAAAAGCAGGTATTCAGCTTTCTACTTAGGTAGTGTGGGACGGTGGACCGACATGATGGGACGGGTGAGATTAGGCCACTACCACAAGCAAGGAAGTTAGTTTGAAAGTCATCCCATCCATCATGGTTCACTAGAAGTTTTCTGTTTCAACGCTGTTCCGTCCCGTGCAATCTGTTGTTCAAGGTTCGCATACTAAGCAGCAGTCAAAAAAGTCACCTACATTTGTTCGAAAGAGATCATGGTAGAGAAGACATATACGATCACATTCTGCTGTCACAAAGCTGTGGGTAACGGTTGTTGGTAGTCGATGAAAGTCTTCCTCCGTTGCAGTAGCGACTGTAGCTGGGATCTGCTAGGATCAGTAAAGTCATAGAGATACTAAGTGTTTAAAAACACTTAGAGTTGCTGGATCTTATAAACATATAGGGATCGTCTAAATCTCCATCAAATCAACAAAGAAAAACAAGTGGGGATGCATGAATCCCACCCCTGAAAACGGGCTGAGGACGCGAAAACAACCTAGATTACATATGTTGCTCATTTTGCTGCATATACAAGCATGCAGTGACACAGTGGAGAAATAAAGATCTAACAAACGATGAGGTGAGCTTTCTTTCTGAAGCCAGAAAAGACACCAGGCCAAAAGGGAACATAATAGATGCTCGGGTTATTAGTAACCAGTCGGATCCGAACCAAATAAAGCTATCAAAATTTGTCAACCTACCGGTAATTCCCGCCCCGCAGTCTCAATTGGCAGTGAGAATGCGAGGATACTACTCAAGACGCCAACCGCAGCATAGAGGCTGAGTGCTCCAATCTGTGAAACCTCAGGCATCATCACCTGAGCAACGTAGGGAGTGACAATGGCTCCAACACGAGAAATTGAACTGAATGAACCAACAGCAATTGCTCTGCATGAAGTCGGATAAACCTACAGCGAGAGGGCGATGAAAACACCATAAAAAGGGGACCATCGGTCGCTGGGTGATAAGGTGCTCCCATTTTAAGCAAGGTGAATGCACGTGGAAATGAAAACAGATTCAGAAACAAGCAACCACGGCGAGTTCGCAAATTCCGTAAGTTATAGACTCCATAAAATATCCCGATTGAATCTAATCGGGCGGTGTGAAGTTTCATTCCGTCAATAATGTCAGTGTAGTTCTGTTGTTATCTCGAAGTAACGGGAGAGCCATTAGGCTCAAAGTCGCTTCAAACCTATGGGGTCCTCCGTCTTATGATAGTTTCTCACGTTTTGTGGACTTACAGTAGGGTCACGCCAACTTTAAGCACGGTTCTTTTAGACATGATGGACAATTATATGGATATGACTTACAGTCGGTTTGCAATATGAACAAATACACACATCAAGCAGATCTCAAGTCTCTGAAGCGTATACCCATACGTGCTGGAGTAATTATTATCACTCATTGTCACGGGTCGAAAACAGGGTGGAATGCACTGATAAAGAGCTCACTAGTTCATACTTCGCACTATATATGCAAGCCGCTTAGAGGAAGTCGACCGGCAACTTGTGGACTTCATCTCAGGATGACTGATAACTCGAAGGGGTTATTAACTCATCATAAAATGGTACCCTTCCCTAATTGCCGCACTACTACTGAGATGGCAAAAGATGAATGATCTCATAACGGGGCGTACAATCTATTTTTTTACTCGTCAAATATTCTCAGGACATGTTACAAAAGTGAAATGATGACCCTGTTTAGATGAAAAGGGTACTTAAACTGCCCGCCAATTGTGTTGACAAATCCTTCATGAGTAACCGAATCGGTCAACAGTGTTACGCAGTGTGGCCCGTGCCACACCAAACTGAATATCAGAACAGAACAGACAGTCGCATTTCAATCGAGGGAGAAATGAATACGAAACAGCCGTGACAGGATTTTCATATTTCAGATGAGGTTCAAAGGTGAAGCCAACAAGTAGGAAGAAGAGGAAGATACGAGCAAAGTAGTTTGAAAACAAGCTTTGAGAATGAGCGAAATAAGTTTCCAAACTTATAATAGCAGGCAAACAACTAATAAATTTCACATTACCTGGAACATAAGCTATACAAAATGGAATTACCCAAAGAAAACAACCGTACCTCAGTAGTATACAGATAGGCAAGGCTCAGCAAACCTGCGGAGAAAGCTCGAACCACAAATAGTACTCCAGTCATCGCTTCTTTGGACATGCACACGTAGAGTAGGAAGAACATTAGTCCTGTAAGTCCGTTCCACACACCCATAGTAATTTTTCGACCGAAACAGTCGATGACCAGAACCATCAGCGGGACATCTGGAGGAAGGTACGAAATTGGTGAGAGCGTGGTCTATACAAAATCAAAATTCCTATGAAAGAGTGTATATTATTCGTCGACCAACACGTTGTAAACACACGTGTTGCTCGGAAGTATGAAAACTAAGTGCAAAATCACCGCGCTTCGGGGTATGCAACGTGCCCCACTATTGAACATTAATACCTGGTGTCTAAGCCAACTTGGCATTAAATTATTGCAGTCAAATTCCGCCATACATCCGCAACTCTTCGCCTCAACTCAAACATGGTGTGGACGGACCTGTTTCAGCTGCACATAAAGCTTCCTTCGACCACAAAGTATGCATCCGTAAGGTACTTAGCAATTGAACCAAAACATAATCCAGGAACCTCTTTGAAAATGGGACAGTGGTTGCACTCTGCCTCAGAAGATTTCAGCTGGAGCAGAGTACAAAATAACTGTCATTTGAGGGAAACAGCTTCCCCAGAGACACTAAATTGTAGTAATCTGTGAGTTGTTGGCACAGTTAGTATACCAACCTCCTATTTACTTGACTACGTGAGTTTAACACTATCGAATGATTACTGGCTAACAGCATGCCATCACTAGTGATAATGCAGCTGAAGAAATATAGTGAGTTACCAGTTTTGCAAACAACCAGACAGAATATAAACTTCACGTGGTATACTTCAATTTATGTGTTAATAAGAAACGTTGCTTCACGGGACATCCTACCCTACGTGTTCAACCTGGGTGTTGGAAATGCCCCGGGCGGCGTATCAGCACCGCAGGCCACTGATGCATACGAATTTTTTTGTTTCGTTTCACTAATAGCACCATTGTGGGAAGCAAAAGTAATGAGATAAATCGTCAGTATAACATAAGTTTTACCGCTGCCAAACGCTTCATTCAGTGCTGTTGCTTCCTTACTATCTAGTGGATGCCCTAATCGGGAATCACTGCTTCAGGAACACTTTTCGGGAAAGTTTTTGCAACTGCAGATGTTTGGTTTAATAATATCAGTAACAACTTCGGGTGTGTACGGAAACTGTAATCGGCAACGGGGGTTAGGATACAACCTGGCTAGTCATGAAGCAATGCTAGATGGCAAATAAGTACTGGGCTGGGTTGCCACACACCCGTGCGCAAATGTATAGTTAGCACATAATGGAAGAAACAGTGGTCAGGGCCTGAGCACGATTCAATCTTGCCTCAATATCGAAGGTAGCATATAGAAAAGCTGCATGCTTCTTAGAAAAAAGTCCACGTACGAGACACTAACAGTGGAACAAGAGCCAAACATGGAAGACGTAGTTCACAGGAACTTAGAGTACAAGATTTCTACTATTGGCACAACGTACGCAGTTTTGTCATGAACACGCATTTCCCAAGAAGATAGATAATCACATTTCCAACAGCTCCGCAGCTAAGGTTCACTACTTTAATCCAAATCAGTTTAACAAGTGACCCATAGGTAACCGCAGTTATAACGTCATGAATCAGTCAGATTTGCGAAAGTCAACCCAAGTATTTCCCAACCTTGTCGGTCGTTTGCTTGCTGATGAAAAAGAACTTAGTTGGCCGCCCGATTTGCCCAAGTAACCTCTGGTTTTTCGTCCATACATGTGCATCAGATATACCAATGACCCTAACTAGCATTTTTAGCACTGGCAAGAATTTGTTGTGAAGATGGTGTACGCTGAATATGGCGGGAAAGTTATTGTTGAATCTAAGCTTTGTCATGTTTGAAGTATTCATGTGTGTATTTCAAAAATTCTTTCATCGCAGTTTCTCTCACGGAGCTAGCACGTTACCGTTCAACGTAACAGCGGAGGTCCATCCCATACAAAACACACATTCACTAGGTAGAAACATGTGAGGACAAAATGTCAACCTAATTGCGTGCTTTTTGTCCTCATCTGTGGATTAGCCCCAGCAGCCTAGCTAATAGTCAGGTGATCACCTGCGTGTAGGGTCTTACGCACTGTGCGAGGAGTGACAACGGGTTTCCAATATATAAAGACTGATTGAAAAGCATCGATCAACGAACTAAATGAAGACATGTGGAACGGTGAATTGATATTCGCATTCCGAACGTAAAGTTTCAATTCATCAGTAAAAAACTAGACACAATCGGCATCTATAGGTGCCGGGCGCGGAAGCCACTGCTTCTGTGATTGTGTTCGTGTCCGTTCTGGACCATTAGTGATAAGTTCATCTTTTGTGTTTTTTGAAGCACCCCAAACAAACAAATGAATGTCTACAGTATGAGTGGGAAATAGCACGGAAATCGATTACACTTTCTCGATGGTGTACTCTACGGTTCCGGTCCGTGAAAACATAGTCCAACTAATATAGTACAAACCAAAAAGCTAGTAATGAATTTACTGGCTTCATTAAGTGGGGGCATTATCATTCGACGGAGAACTAGTCCCAATAAATAATACTATCAAATATGACAGAGTTATGCTGAGCTACAACTGTTGTTCGAATGTGCCTTGGCTCCGTCCAACCGTTTCAGCATTTGGCTCAGAACCATTCGCTGGCATTCGACTTCAGCATAGAAGGTGAGATATACAGATTCTTTTTGCGAAGTAGTTACAGTGGGCGTCATATGCCTCCAACACAAGTGAATACACAACCATTATTGCAAAGGACTGAGCCTGTGAAACTGCACTGTTCTTGCAGAAACCGTAAAGTTCCCCTCAGTGGGCAAATGGCGTTGTCAGTCACCTCGAGCTGTAAATATCAGCATTACTCGGAGCAACCACGACATCTTATAACAGCTGCGTAACCGCATCGATTGACTTTCCATTTGACGAGAAATTCACGTCACGAAGGATAATTTCTTTCGTTTTACACAGCTCGAACGGCATCAAAAAATTACCTCAATCTTTATGTTGAGAGTCGGGTATCGTTAAAGGTCTTGTGATTATTGGTGCTGGAAAGGAACGTTCCAATTTTCTACAGTAAGGTGGTAATAGAATGCCTTTGTGAGCACGGCAATTATCATCATTCCTTACGAATGCCATCTGTGAAACTGTCGAGGTACTATTAACGTGGGCTTTGACTCAGTGGATAAACCGGAAACCACATTCACGCCAAGTTTACAGCATGTATCAGCGTCGTTTCAGGTTGCTCCACGATCCCAGGTTCCCACGACCTGAGATAACTGAAAAGAGCCACCACAAAGTGAGGCGGGAAAGACCGGTCTGCACCTACAAACTGGAAATTCAAGGACTGCATCAGCATGCGGGAAACGGAGTAGGATGACCTGGTGAAAAATGTGCAACGAAGTGCCAAAGACTCCCACTGGTGGCAGTGAAGAAAGACCAAGAACACACTATGACAGCCAATGATCCGAACAAAAACTGTTGTTAACACATGAATAAGATAGTACGAATGAGAACAACAAACAGAGTTGGGATGTACCAGCTCGCCATTTAATCAATTTTACAGTGTATATTATTGTTCAACTCCTTTCTACGGGACATGGTTTATCGTAGCCCCATTATTTAAAAGCCTACGAAAAAACCGTACAACAAAAACATTTATCGGTAGCAGAAGATTTAGGAAATTCTTTGTAAGTGGAAAAATATATGCAGCAAAACAGAAAAGCATTATGTAGCTGTCTTATCTTTATTGAGAATCATCAGTAATGAGCACCTTCAGGAACTCCAGGGAGTTTTGGACACACGACCTCCAAACTAGTGGTTTGAACACACCTTAGATTGCACTTAATCTCAACCACCTTCCCCCTCTCCCCAACCTACGTTCTTGTAGCATTCAAACCCACACAAACCAACGGAATCTGCCATCATCATCATCATCATCAAAGAGAGCAACATCAGTGTTGGCACTGATGTTTCACTGCCAGTGGAACCCAAGGTGAGCCATCAAATGAAGCATCTTGAAGTGAAAGATGTTGGCACTGTCACTGCCAGTGGAACCCAAGGTGAGCCATCAAATGAAGCATCTTGAAGTGAAAGATTAAGGGACCAAAATCCAATAGAAAATAATTCAAAATCCCCCCGACTTATCAACCGCAAGATTTAGGCAACCACGTTAATTGACAAGATCCTTTAATTGACATTCAACACTGACGTAATGTGTCAATCCGAAGAGGTCTCACTAATTGGTTCTCCGTCTGGATTAAAACCTGGCAACCTTTGTGGCATGATCACTTGGCCTGATGAAGTTTTGTGTCAAAACCATTCGAAAACTACCGATTGTTTACCAAGCCTTTCTGAAACGATAACTACACAATCGGTTTCAGGCTTGTCCCAAATGATTGAACACTAACTTGTTCGGCCACGAGCGGATGATCAGCAGTGCGATGGATCTAGCCATTCAATTACGGAACCCACATCACGTGGTCGCATGTTGACTGACTACTGGAATGTATTGGCTTCACTAACACGAAGAAAGCTCCATTGAGAATAAATATTCAATTCCTCAACTGTAGTGAAGCCGTTGGCTTCCTTCGAGTACAAAGGGCGCGCACAAATACAACCTCAAGCAAGGATGTAAGGACGGAATCTTCATTCTCCAATCTGCTGAATAACTGACCAGCGACTGTTACGGTATCCTTCCACTGACTGGAGTAGACGAAATACAACGCTTTGGTGACAGAATATGTGAAAAATATGGGAGAGTAACTAAGTTCTTACAGCAAGACACCTAAGCTGAATCTACGGGTTACAGTCAAGTTTCGAAAACGTTCTCCACAGTAAGGTCAGTCGTGTACCCATCCCCAAGAGTGCACACAACGTAGCTTAACCGAAGAGAGTTCTTCGGCTGGGAATGAACGTGTGCTTCATTACATCGCCCCAAAGATAAGGCAAACAAAAAACGTAATGGTTACTCCTGCGTCTTTTCGATGTGACCATCCTAAGGGCTGCTTTAGTGGAATTGACTAAATGGTGTCGGGAAAGCAGGTCGCATCAAGCACGGTTAAAGTGTTGTTGTAGTTAACACTATACTCACTGATGAACTCTCCAACGGAAGAAACCAGCATCGCAACGAAGTCGTCGTCGTTCATATCTCTGCAGCATGAGGTGTCAACCGGCGGTGTATCATCACTCAGGAGAGTTGCATTCAGGACCTCGGGAGGAGTGCTTGGAGCTGGTAGATGGAATTAAGTGGTAGACATGGTTCGATTTTAGAGTGTGGTGTGCTCAACACGAATGGAATTCGATGAACAGCAGGGCACACAACTGACCCGACAACATGCAGCCAAAAAGTATCCATGGGTCAGGAAAGGCCTGATAGTTACGCCGCTTACGTGAGATGGGACAGAAGGGAACGACATTAAACAACAGCCTAAAATAAATATAGCCTGTGAAGGTGTCGATGTTCAAATGTCATCAAATAATCTGGGAAATATACCCATTTACACATCAATTTGGTCTAAACGGGAGATTCAACGGATTCCAGCTGAATCTCTCGTTTACGAATGTATCTCGGGAATTTTGTACAATTCGGGTTCAAGTGGTACATATGGTTGGCAGATACGCGGGGAGTGCGCCTACTGGATGAGCCCCAAAAAGGGCGAAACCGGTCGTGGGCTGTCGAATAGCATGCAGAAACCTTATGAGGGTTTCTTCCAAGAAAAATTCACCGACTAGTTATTTTTTACATGACCCACTCAAGGCATTATACATAGCTTATAAGATACGCGGGGCGCCTACTGGATGAGCCCCAAAAAGGGCGAAACCGGTCGTGGGCTGTCGAATAGCATGCAGAAACCTTATGAGGGTTTCTTCCAAGAAAAATTCACCGACTAGTTATTTTTTACATGACCCACTCAAGGCATTATACATAGCTTATAAAATGCTTGCAGGGGGGAAAGAACACAGTTTAGATAGGGGTTATGACCGAAGGAAGGAAGCCATATTGGGTATGGCACACTACGGACAGCTTTATGTCGCGCTGTATATACATAGATAAGCCAGTCCCCAAGACTCGAGAGGAAACTGCTTGAATTTGACTTTTTGGCGACCAGTGTATGACCATATATAGGCTATGTAGATAAAACTAGTTGGACGGTAGAAAAATAGACGGGGGAACAAGGTATGGAGGAAAAGCAAGACTTTATTTTGGCTGAAGCATACTGAAGTACAGTACAAGCCAACACGACGATTCACCTGCGTGTGTTTGTTTGATTGCCCGTATGTGCAAAAAGCACTACCATTTATAAGTTTCAAAGGAGATGGAGCACTTTTCAAGCGCTAGGCAAGTCACATCAAAAATTGATTTGCTGTTCATTGCTAGTCTTTGGCCGCGTGACAAGCGAAGTCCATATACACATTTCAAACGCTGGTAGGTTGGATAAATTGCGACATCAGAAAGTTATACAATCAGACCCTGGGGGTTTAATGTATCAGACTGGCGTGGACCGCGTTGCTCTACAGCCAGGAGACGCGACCCGTGGGTAGAGACTCTAAAGTGCTACCGTGCTTCTGAACATGGATATTCGAGTAACATGGCTCGCACCGGCTAGTGTCAATGAATCTCAGATAGGAAAAGAGGTATTCGACTATGTACCAGAATGCACCAAGCAACTAGCTGTGGTAGATAAGTTAACCGGCATGAATAACGGGCTATTGTCTGCAACATAATGGTGCCATTTACAATACAAACGATTATGAAAAGTATGTGCGTTGTCCGCATTCCAGAATAGAAGCCACACGACCACCAAAGGGCTCGGGGACGCTGCATTATAGTGTTGGGAACCAATGTGCTGTCTGCTTCTATCTAAACGGTCTTTAGAGGTGGGTGCACCTCGTATATTTGGAGAGGCTAGCACCACGTCCCTTTTTTCATTTTCTCTTTCTTTTCGCCGCGGAGATTGGTATACGTAATCTGAAGCAGTCTTACGAAAGTAAAACCGGTGATAGCGCTAAGAACGAGGATAAAGGCTTGCACCTCCATATACCGTGCGATTTCACCTAGGTACAGTCGGACTAGACACCTCAAGTTCCGTTACTTCGACGAGTCGAATTGGTTTTGTTTGTTAGCTCAGCTATCCTTGAACACAACAATAAGCTTCTTTCTTGAGGACAGGCTGTAACGACCCAGCCCGTGTATCTCGATGAACCTCGTGTGTAACAGATCTAGACACTCAACTGCGAAAAAAAGCATGGAGGGACAAGTAGTTCGGCCGCACTGAACGGGTCAACTTGCCTTACACCAGCACGCAGACATAGGTGATGTTCATACTCGAAGGTAGAAGAGAAGAAACACTGCCAGTACAGGCAATAAAAGTTGTAAAAACGTAGTGGTATCCGGGCCATGAAAAGGTCCGAATCCAACCCGCTGAAGTCCACAGAGGACGTGAGATGATAGCACGTGAAATGCACTTGCTTGTTGAGGAGGCAGTCGGGTCAAAGTTGGATCAGCTACTGATTGCCCTATCATCAACAAATCGTGGTCTGTTTCACTCGACGAAACTGAGCAGTGCTCTCAGCAGATGTGGGGTCATGCCCCAGACACGAAGAGGACTCGATGACGTAGGCTATTTCTTACTAAGACTGACCGTATGTTTTGATACTTGTGTTACGTTTAAGTAGCATTCACAAGGGGTGAAATTCTACGCTCTGCAGGCACTTCCTTAAATGAAGGCTTGGTATGGTGATTTACAAAGAATTGAATCGTCTCGTGTATATGAAAGAAGTGTGTCACCTCTATGAATTAAAGTAAATAGGCAAGAAGTAAACTTGGTGACATTTAAAAGGGCAAAACTCACTTACAAGTAATGAGGCTACTACTCGACGTTAGCAGACAATACAAATATTACGTGAAGTTTTATTTTGCACACACACTGCACACTGAAGTAAGACCCGGCTGAAGGAACTACTATGCGATGTCATCTTTATGCATAATTTCGAGGCAGCAGATATTAGCTGGCCCGACAAGCCCCCTGGCATTGAACTAGGTATAGTTAAGCAAATAAAGTACCGATAGGGGAGAAACAAAAGTGAAGTTACTACGCACCTCCGAAGCATGAGTGCCGAAAACGAAAAATCTCAGCACTCAAAAGGACAACACCATAATAACCGAAGGCAGCACCGAACCATATCATCGGGAGCATCAGGGTTGTGACCAAATAGCGTTTTCCAAATAGCTGTTTTACGCTTCCCAAGCTCTTCGCCTGCAATGAAAAGTGGAAATGAAACTATGATAGGAGCGAACTAGGTTGAGAGCATCATGAGGCGTCTGCTGTGATCCCAACAGTGAATGGGAAACGTGAACAAAGCAATAATGGTTACAAACGTCAAGCAAAGGATTCTCTTGGTGGTGAATTGTGAGTGCAACACTTTAACCACTTCAAAGAAGTTGAACACCGGCGAAACCACAAATGAGTAAGTGAATGGCAGTAACGTTCTGCTTGAGGGAGGGCCAAAGCCTTAATTCACCCAACAGAGTATGCAGATGGGTACCAGCTCGAGGGTTGGGAAACAACATGGGTAGTGGCTTGGGACAAGTCACACTGAGGTTTCGATAGCACAGAAATGCGAAAGGATAGGTTGCAATTACCAGTAGAGACTAAGAGCAAATAACGCCTCTTTTGTTTTCTGATTGGTTACCAGAATAATTCAGAATAATTCTTCAAAAGATGTGCGGTAGGAAAGGATTAGGTATAACAAGAGACTAGAAGTGATGCAATCCACTTGCGACACAACTTGGACAGATAGGATGTGATAGCCATTACAAACTTCGGCTAACTACCTAAATTGGTTAATATGCGAGTGAAGTTCATTGGCATCAGGACGTCAAAGCGGTCAAAAGTTATAGCTATAGACAATCAATACTTGCTAACTACAACGGCAAGAGGTGAGTTTCAAAGTACACTAATGGCCGATAAAGACAATTAGGTCCCAAGTGTACATGCAAAATCATTATCAGTTCTTCCATGAACAATTAAAAAAGATAGTACGGAGATAGCTTGGTTGAAACACTGCGAGTTGCTTCTATGCCCTCGGGGAGATAATTTGGGTAGAACACGAAAATGGAAACGCCAATGATATTAGTGGTAACTCATACAACTTCCAGCTTACTGCAGAGATGGTTACGCACTACTAACAATAACGTCGCGAGGTCAGTGGGCAAAATGACCTAGGAATTACATATTCGTTTGTTCTAACAGGGCCCCTCCTCTTGCTGACATCCAGAATAGAGAAAACACGGTCCTGGGGTCGAGTACACGAGACATTTCCAGGGTAATTATGCTTTTTCTGGAGGTAGAATCCCTGGCCTCTAGACAGAACAGGGATTCTTCGAGAGTGTATAACTATCCGTTTTGGCAAACAGTTCGGCAAGGTCGTTGATGACCCTTCCAAAATCGATCCAAATTTCTTCCAAAGTACTCCATCACCGCATAAGTCCTAAGCACTGCCTACTTTTGTTGAAAAAACAGGCGTTCTGACTAGATTGCCCGTCTAGACGACCGGGTAACTTCTGATTTCGAACCACTTACACTAGGCATACGAACAAGCTATGTTATTCCGAGGACGGGTTGAAAGCAACTTAATTAGTATGTTACTGTTAGGCCTATATATATACTTACCGGCGACCTTTTGGATTAAAAACATCCTAGACGAGTAGTCTTTATCCCGTGTGGAATGAAAATGACCGCCACTCCCAAAGCAAGATAGGGTTTGTATCTTATCTAAATGTCTGGCCAGTTAGTATTAAAGAGAACTAGGCTGCAAAAGATCAACTTATCCAGCATGGCTAAGTCATAAACATCTGTGTTCTCCAATCTGAAGTACGGACCAATAAATGGCAAATTTACCAGAATATGATGACTGGGTGTACACAATGGAATATCAAGTTACTGCAGTCTGCGATGCCAGGTACGATCCATTCCATAACAAGACAAAATTCAAGTCTTTCCACAATTAAACGGTTCATCGGTTGATATCTGCGGAAGTTGATACAGTTCCTCGCACGTCCTACAATCGTGTATGGTTCCTCATTAATGACTATTGACCTCGTTCTACATATAAAACACAACAGCGGTTCGCGCCCGAGGTAACCGTTGAGCAGAACTTGATCAAAAATGCTACAAGAGAAAACCGGTAACCGGCTATCCGTCGTAGAACACACGACGACGCATCAATACTACTGAATACTTGAATGAGCACCTGAGGTGCACTATACGCGAACTCAAGACAGATCTGTAGCCATTCGATCAGGCAGCGGACTGCGAGACCTACTCCGTGAGCAGCGTCCAGAAACTAAGTTTGTTTGTTGAATCATTCTGACTGAATGACCCGATGTGAAGGTTAATCTGTCCACCAAACACACAGTGAAGTAGATCCATCAACTCTGTCAGACACAGTAAATCATGCCAAACGAAAAAGCTGAGTGCTAAGTGGATGCAAAGCGAACTATACAGTGAAAAAACTGGGAAAATGTAGTGTAGCCTCAAATCCAGGAAGTGCCCTTGTATCTGCACCAGAGGACATCAATAGTTCGAATACAATGCAGTCGACTGGGCAGAAATGTAAATGTGGTTGACGCAAATGAGAGAACGAGAGGCGCTGAAGATTAGGGCAAGGTGAAACCGGGTAACTTGTTCCTCATGAAGAGAATAGTCGCTTAAACCACGAAAGCAACCTTCCTCAGACATGCCTAACAGATCGATGGCCTGTGGTTTGATTGACAAAACCATTTTGCGTAAATCTTTTCAACCGATATGCAAATCAGTATGAGCCGCTTGACTTGACAATCATTCCTGCAATCTGGTATCCTTGGGAAACTCTCAATCCGATGGCGTCTGAAGAGGCCAAATCAAACACCGAGTGTGCCTCGCAAGTATATCTCTGTGGGTTGGTGGGTTATTCGGTTCAATTATTTCGTGTTTTTGATTAAGTATCAACAGACAGAGTGAAGAAGGCGTGGACCGTAAAAGCCATAGTCACCACCACAAATGACTTCTTTGATTTGGATTGAAAAATCACGAGAATCGGACAATCGACATAAAAATACAGTGTGTAAACTATGTACGACAAGAAAAACAACGGCAAGCGAACAGATAAGACAGCACCTGAAGTTTAAACGGCGTGGATCGACAGGTGACTGAGCTATCAACACAGATATACATCGGAATCAATTGATTATACCTAGGGCTTTTACCCATTGAAAAATAGGCTGAATCGAAACAGGTTCAATAATATTTGACCCGCACATTGATTCAAGACTTCGACTGGTAATAAAATCACAAGGGTAGATTTGTACAGTGAGAACAATGTGGGTATCGTTCACAAGTATACAAAGGCGTACAGCCGTTAACGGGGAACTGTAGAAGGGCGGAGCACGTAGTATAATTTTCACAAGGTAATGAGGTTAATGAGCTTATTTCGACCAGGAAAGAAGACATAGTAAAGTGATTCCAAACCCTCTGTGTATAACAACTTTTAGTTCGAGATGCCTAAGCTATACAGTTAAAAATTCAAGGTTATTTTATGTCGCTTTGAATGTCATCAAACCCCTACTCAATGTGGAAGTGTAGATGGAAATAACGCTTGAAAACGGTGCTAAAATTTGATGCGTATGGCGCGCGAATCAGTTACCCCAAAATACGAGAAAAAAGTGAAAGTTGGGCTCGGAAGACGCGGGTTTCTAAATTCAGAACTTCATTGGCTGCCTGTATAAGACATTGGGACAGGTACAAAGTTCTGATCTGCTTGGACCAAAACAACGTTGTCTGACCACTGCAGCAGGCCATCCCATGACCTTAGTAACCACTTCCCTAGCAGCCGCATATAATGGCGGATGAAAAATCAATGAAAAACGAGGTGCGGAATTGCGAGTGAAGCTCAACGCACGAATTCACACTAAACAGCAAAGTTAAGTGCGGAAGAGCCAGTTCATTTAACTTCAAACGATTCAAGTCTGAGCTCAGTCTACTCACACAATCGCACAAGTGATTCTGAAATGAGAAAAAATAATCGATTGACGACAGATTGGCTGAATGAACGAATGCATTAGTCCCACAGGTTACAGGTACATTTGTGCTCACTACAGCCAGCCGAGGTGTAAAGACAAAGTAGGTGCACCTGTGTAAAATACACAGTGAAATGGTTTAAACTAAGTCTTGGATGAATAGTGAACCGCTATAATTTGAATATAGGTAGAATAGATGTGGGATTTCAAGTGCTTCGGAAGTAGGTAAATAAAAACGCATTAAAAGATTCGAGCCTGTTAGTTTTTAGAGTTCGGTGTCATAAACACGATGTCATGTTTGTGCTAAACGAACACTTAGGCCAACAAGCGTCCACATTTAGTGTCAGGTTTGATATCAAAGGCTGACACAGTGAGACCGACAGACCCGTCAACTTAAAACCACAAGAGGAAATGACAATAAGGCTCGTGTGTGGTGCCTCAGGTGAATATCCACCTTGTCTAATGTGCCTCTCAATTCAGACACGAAATCGATTATCCATGATACAGAAGAATGAAGGGCTGTGTACACCAATGCCCGTAGGAAACGAATGTTCAACAAGAAGCCGCTTCAGTTTCCACGAAGTTAATATGGGGGTGAGAAAGCCTAGTCACTCAGTATTCTTTTTCCCTGTCATGAAAACTTTTATTCAAGCCACTCTAGCTGGGAAACAAGATTTATGGATTCACACGATGGAACTGGTTTGTCGAGAGTGGATCGCGAGGACTGACAACAGCAATGTCAACGAGTTTCCCAGAAACAATGATTCCGACCCTTCACAGGCGGTGAACACTTGAAAACATGGGTCCTGATGCGAATGAGTGAACCGCACTTACCAAGAAACCGATAAATGGGTTTGCGGATCATACATTAGTGACCCATATTCCGATCCGTTATCAGTGACAGTTGTACGTACTTCATGCTTTGTTACACTGCTTTGAGACCAGGCGTCAAGATCAAGCCAATAGTAAATTCCAGCGAACAACAAAGAAACAGTATGAAGATAATAAGCATTCAGCTGTACCACGCTTTCGGTGCCTAGCTACTATGCCACCTGAAAGAAGCATAACGATTGAGATACTGTCAGGTTACCAAAACCCCGACATTAGTAATCGACATGCTGGGTCTAGGTCCGAACGGCGGACTTTCCGGTCAGCAATTTCACCCCGTAAACTTTGAACTATCCTGTGCTGTGCGGACTCTAGAGTCCAGAAAACTTCTGTAAGTATGAGGGATGAAATGAGGGTTCTAAAACGCTTCACGAAAAGGACAGTTAACACAAACAGGATGGTCCTCTAACATGGAACCGACTGCATTACCATTATCTTATTCGTATTCCATCGTTCTGTTAGGAAATATTGAAACAAATCTTCCGAGTAATTCTCCAACAACTGTGCGATACTCAAATGAACTAATCAACTGTTAAGCTGAAACCAACAAACCCGGAGCAGTTAGAAGGGAATTTGGCCCGATATGTCCGCCTTTGTTCTGCTTCAATAAAACTGTAATACTGTGAGTGCATTGGGGGTAACCACAATCATCTACGCAAGACTCTCCATAGAATTGACATTCCGACCACAGAATCGATTGTGCGCGGTTTGAATCAGTTCATGAGGCTGTAAACTGTCATTTGGCCAGTGTGATATGAACATCATAAGTCCGAGCACATAGGCCCTAGTATATTCAGACCACGGAGATCTGGAAATCCACCGAAAAATCAGTTTTCGAATAAAATGTACTCAAATCCGCAATGTGTGCCGAAAAATTGTGAGGGTGCTCGTGCAATTCTTTAAAAGTATAAAAAAACCCTTTCTTGCCATTGTCAAACTTAGAGAAGCCATCAAACCAAGAAACACAATAGTGCTGGACATCAAAACTTCACCGACCTACTGACTCTGTAGGTAGGTGTTGATTTGGAGAGCGCAGGTCAACATTATGGAGTCTGATACCGAAAGAATGATGAGGACTGAAATTATCTTAACAAACCCGGAATATATACGTATGATCAAAGAGTTATTTCTCAGTCACAATCCTGTCAACGGCAGAGACATCGGCAGCAAGCGAAGACACATTTTTCTCGAAAATAGTTGTCTAAACGGGTTATACATAAAATGGATGCATGGTGTAGAAGTGGGATCCTTGTTTACCGAATTCTGTATCAACTGGGTCCGATATACGAGCACATTGTTAAGGCTAGAGATTAAAGTGAATCGGTCCCGGGTGCAGCGTTCATTAACGTTATTTTATTGCATCCATGATTGCTGGGTTCTAATGCCTGAAATGCAAAAGCTGTGGGTGGACTCAGTTCTAGAGTGTACAGGTCCTTTCTACCATTCTAAACTAGGTTTTCAATGATGGTGTATTGATCCTCGAATCACGTGAAGAATGTAGAAATAAGTTGGTAAAAATTTGTTAACTTGCTACAGGGGCGCGATAGAGAATGAAGCGAAATACGGACGTGACAGAATACAGAGGAGTCATGGCAACCAAAATAAAAACGGAAAACGGCTTTATTTTCAAATGATCTAAAGGTACAAACCAGAGAAGTAAAAGGCACGTATTGCAGTGACAAAAAAAACAGAACAATTCGGCTGAAACGAGGAGGGTTCATTACTCCCGACAACAATATCACCAAAAAAGCCAAGCGATCAATAAGGAATAGTTCACAAAAAGTTAACGAAGAGAACTCAGCCTTCGTCATTGTCCCGAAGTTGACGCTCTAGTGTCACGCACAGAAGCAAAGATCGATACACAGAAATCACTACGGCAACGTGCACACAGCCGTGCTTCCTACTACCGAAAATAACGTACCCTACAAGCCTTGCAGTCCTCAACCCAACGATAAATTAATAAATGGCTGAGATGACTCGCCTATTTACAGTATTGGACCGGAATCAATTAAACCGGGGAGTAAGATAATCATCTTGGTTACCCCATCACCTAAAAGCGGTTACTGACAAAATCAATTAACGTTTACACGCAAGGTGTTCGTTGGTTGACTTGCTATCCTGAGGCATACAGGCTGATGGACGTTTTGCGAAAGATACACTGACCTAGACTATTACGAGAAAATCGAACGATCTTCCCGCTTAAGTTCAAGTGTAACTTGAGCGCCAGTGAATCTGGCCCCAAATATTCGTTCATCCGATGTGTCATTCACAAAAACCATAAAGTGAACAACTTCAGTGATTGGCACATTGGGTCAACGCGAGCGAAAAGTAGCCTAGAGTAATTAACGCGATGACTACCTTTGAGGGTTAACAATCTGTCAAGAGCACTCTGCTACTGTCAGCATAGAAGGACGAACTGCGAAAACTGCAGGTGTAGGCCTCAAATAACTATTCGATATGACGAGCGAAGCCGGTATCCAGTGTTCACGGTGAGAAATAAGACAGGGCCTAAGTGAATAGCACAATCAAATATGATAATGAGCATTTATTTCATTCGTTTGCCATGAGCTGATTCGCTGGAGCCTTTCTTGGCAGTAATTCCATGCTTTGCCTGATGTCACTACGCCCCTTGTATACAACATCCTGAATTTCTGAACGCAAATTCCTTAGGGTGCAGTAACGGTTGTCCTATTTGTGAACATCTCCAGGCTAGTGGCAACAGTAAAGATATTGTCAACTAGGTGATAGGGATTAGGGCATCCACGTTATCAGACACATCAGTATTAACACTGATGCCTCAATACCGAACAACTGGAGAGTTTGCTTAATTATGTGTAAATAATTGTAGTGAAGGGAAGATAAAAAAGTTAATGAGAGGGGAACTTGGCACTATTTTATCGTAAGCATTATGAGGTACCTACCCATCCCGGAGATCGACAAACCGATATAGAAAAAAATGACAGTACGGGCGCCACTGACATCGATCGGTATATCCAGCCAAGTTCGAGGGACGTTACGGGGACATAAAAGATGAGTCAAAAATTAAACCTGCCCAGCTCAGCGAACAAAATTACGACCATCTATGCCAGTCGGGCTACCAACATGCCCCTGGGTAGCAAGAATTGTAAATGTCATGGTTGTACGAGGGCTGGGATACTGCAAGGGCGCCCACACACAGACAGGAGGACGATCAGGGTCCTCAACAAAAGTCCTCGGCTCGAAAGCCTAACTGCAAGGCAGCGGTATCGGACCGGAAATGCAAGTAAATTAATATTTTTACGGAACACTTCGTCACACATGTTCTAACCCCCAACATGAACGGCAAGGAGACTGTGTTTGTCAGACCTCTACCCACTGAGACTCTGTGGGTGTCGCGCGGACGCCCTCGAGCAAAGCTCAACGGGTCACCGAGGTACACAAACCGTTACATTAAGGTAAAGTCCAGTCTCAACCATGACATTTACAGCCAACAATACTCCTAAGCCACATCGGCCGTCGCGTGGTGCCATCAGACGGGTCGCCTAACTTGCTACATGCAGCAGGGCGGGTAACCGAAAACATACGACTAATGACGCCTCCCTTCTTACACTTTCATGTTTTCCGTCTTCAACCCTCCCCCACCCAAGTTTGAATAATTTCTCCGCAGGTCCCAGAACTAAGACTGACCATTTTGCTCGCGCTGCATCACACTTGGCTGCAGCTTCTGTACGTCGGAGTTCAGTCACAATCTTAAACACTTTGGAGTCTGTCTTCAAACCCCGAGAACCTGTCCACATAACCGCCTTTATTATTTGCACACTGAAGCAAGCAGGTCAATAAGGATGCACGACACAAGTACTGTGATCAAACTGACTGTCACCTCGCTCTCTTCCCGATTCTTGCTGCGAACCTCTGGTGATACAGAGGCCACCGCAGTTGGATAGGCTGGGGTGGGTATTGTATTGGGCGACCGAGCGGAAGCTTGACCGGATACCCGTTGATAGTTGCATCCGCGCGGTTTGTTTGGCAATGTCTGTGAAAGCATCTAGAGGAAATGAGGTCCACTGTCTAGGTGTTCTTTTACAGCAGATTAAAAGCGCAGATATTGTTATGGTTGCTGGTGAAATGAGCACACAGGTAGGTAGACTAGGCGCTCCTGAGGCCCGACTGGATGGTCATTTGGATGGAATACGAGAAAGACGGGCAACGAGGATCGCTTTGTTCAGATGTGAGGGGATCACGGACTGTTACTTTGTAGTACCAAGCGGAAATCGCTTGGAAACGTCGCACCCACCAGCAAGCCAGCCCCGAATCCAAATCGACCACATCACCGTCAGTTATCGGTGGCGAGGGTCGATCACTGCCTACCGCTGCTTCTGAAGTACCAGCGCGGACTCCCACCATGCACTTGTACGCTGCTGCTGTTCACTGAGCTTTTCAGGTCTACGCAAAACGCACACAGCTCGCTTGGCCATTGAGAATACTCACAATCAGAAATCACGCGAACCTATCAGAACCGGCTAGTTCAACTTCCTGCCCCGTAGTCCGATGTCGGGCAACTAGAAAAGCGTGTCCACAGTGATGCTTAAGGCTGGAAATTCGGTTTGCGGAAGTAACCAGCCAACTTCATTGAAATTTTAAATCACTGATAGGACAAC